GTTTTAAATACCCGGGTATTTTACATCACTATATTTATCCCAATCTAAATCAGAACCTGACTTACTTTCTCGCTACTCTGATCTCAATAAGCTACTTCGGATCACAGCATGGTGTCGAAGATTTATCAATCGTCTCAAGAAAATTAACAGTATAGAACACACTCCCTATCTGACACCCAAAGAATTAAATGATTCTTTACTACTTTGGACAGGTATTGTTCAGCTAGAAGCCTTCAATGAAGATCTAAAACAACTCACTAATCAGAAACCAATCAATAAGTTGAGTAAACTCCGCAATTTCACTCCGTTTCTTGATCAAAATAAACTTATCAGAGTTGGAGGTAGACTCAACCAATCCACTCTTGAGTATGACTCAAAACACCCACTTCTCCTCCCAAAAGATTCTAATCTTTCAAAATTAATAATATCTGATTCCCACCTTCGTACACTACACGGTAGTACAAGCATTACATTATCAACCATTAGACAACGTTTTTGGATTCTCGGTGGTCGCCCAGCTATTAAGAAAGAACTACTACGGTGTGTCACTTGTGCTCGATACAGAGCTGAACGAGCTCAGCAACTTATGGGACAGCTTCCTACATCTCGAGTCACCCCTTCACGACCATTTCTCCACTCTGGTGTGGACTACGCAGGTCCATTCGTTATCAAGACTTGGCGAGGTAAAGCAGCAAAAACATACAAGGGATATATTGTAGTATTCATCTGCTCGTCAACATCTGCACTCCACCTCGAATTAGTCACCGATTACTCTGCAGAAGCATTCATTGCAGCATATAAGAGATTCACAGCTCGCCGTGGAATTTCTTCCACTCTGTCCAGTGATTGTGGTACTACATTTATCGGTGCTGATGCAGAACTAAAACGTCTATTCACGGCTTCAACAACGACAAGTACCAAACTAAGAGATCTTCTAACTAAAGATGGTCAAGGGAATATCTTCAGCAACTGCAGACAATTTATAAATGGAGATTTCCAAACACACAACTTAAAGTAGGATCAGTAGTCCTTATTATTGACGAACAATATCCTCCATCAAAATGGCCTTTAGCTAAGGTCATAGAAGTTCATCCTGGGCTTGACAATCTCATTCGCGTGGTAACACTGAAGACAGCTACTGGAATACTCAAAAGACCAACAGCAAAATTGTGCTCTCTTCCTGTCAGAGAATAAAATTGCCCAGTTCCCTGTTGCAATTTGGGGGGGAGTATGTTAGAAGTACTATGTATACTATCAACTGCCTGCCATTTGAGGATGAAATCATATGTTATTAATTGTTATGATCTATTTACTTTTTTGTTTACTTTTTATCAGTTTTGTTCTCAACCATGTTAATAAACCATCAATTGTTTTTCATCTCTTTTATTTTGTAAAAACTAATCACTCATACTATCTATCATTAACAATGCTAAAGAAGGATTTTCATTTCATTTCATTTTTTACTATTAGGAGGATGCCCTTTAGACTGGTTTACTTCGCACTTTAGATTTGTTTACTTTGAATCAGGTAAAAAAATGCTACTTTATGGGCCCCAGGTTAAATCAGATCGGTTTAAAATCGGTTTGCTTTGAAAACGGTTAATTTTTATAACATAATGTCGATTTTCGAGCCAAGCAGGGCCTACAAGCTTGAGAGGTGAAACACAAAGTCAGAAAATCGAGCTCGAGCCGATTTTCTCAGTACTCAATACAATAATGCCCAATTAAAAGTAAAAGCTTTTATATCTGCGAGGATCACGCTCACGAAATTGAATTCCCTGTCACCACCGACAGGTTGCGGGAGATATTAGGCCGTGATATTAGATTGGGCCATGAACGCGGGAGACGATGATGTTGCTATCTGATGATGTCATAGGTTTGGTTACATTTGCAATGTCAGTAGACTATGATAATGTTTCTTCCATGACTACGGGAAGTATTCACGATTTCACCGCGATCATGGAAGACGATGATGATGCCTCGGGGCCTCAGGAGACGCCTTGTGAAGTTTATTGCAAAAAATGCAACTTTAGGCGGTAATACTTTGAACATGTTTTTAAAGATTATTGAGATAGGGGGGCCCGGCGAACAAACTTGCAGGGAGGGGGCCTGCGGGCTCTTATCGCCGCCACTGCCCGGGACCGATTTACTTTTTCATTTTGAGGTCCCCAGAGGCCAAAAACACCCTCCGTTCAAATTCATATGTATATGTGTCCGTTAGGGCAATAACTCGAGCCAAAATGATTGAACGAGTTCGCGAACCAGCATGATCAGTCCATGGGAACGGGGATTTATGGGGGGTTTTATGGGGTAAAAATTGGGTTTACTCATTTTTGACTCTAAAATCATAAAATTTTGCAATTTCTTTCCAGACCAATTTGTAGAGCTTAAAAAAATATAAAAATTTTTATATTGAAGCGTTGTTGTATGCCTAATGGTTATGGAGGTAATTAAAAAAAAACTTTAAAATAAAAAAACCCATGTTATTCTTTTGGAGAATTAATAACTGTTGTAGTTTGCTTGTTTATGAACATATTCAAATCAAATTTGGCAATTTCGTTTATTTCATACTAAGCTATCAACATTTCAATCAAAAACACACCTCAATACCTTCCCTGTAGCAACAAACCTCGGTTCCGGTACTCATTAAAATTCATGTTATTTAAATAGAAAAAAAATCTGTCAATTTTCGGGTAATATTTTAGTAGAAATCCAGCCAGGTAAATGGAAATTCGCTTAATCTGCAGGTTTGTGCGGCGGGGGTATTTTTATCAATCAAAGGTAAATTTGATAAGATTAAGGTAGTCATTAGTGTTTAAGCGTGTAACAATGTATGATTCCTCCGACAACTAACGCACTATGGAAGTTTCCAAGCCAACGAAAAGTATACCTCAAAAGTCTAATTTTTGCTAAAGTAAAAATTAGTCTCTGTTCTTTTTAAAAAGGGAGTGCCTATTATGGTCTAATTTATTGCATATGTTTCATTGTTCGTTTAAATATCTTTTTCATATTTTAGAATTAATTGACTGCTTCCTAAACAGCAATAGTACCTATGCTTGATGTGAATAGTAAAGATCTTTTCTATTGGAGTTTAACTACCCCAAAGAAGGATAGGCCTAATTAATAGGCGGTTAATTTTTACACAGTCAATACTACCACCCTTGACTATTAATACAAATACAAATAGACATTGAATCCCCATGTTAAAGTTATCGCTAGTTTTAGCAAATTTCCCTATAGGGAAGTAAGCTATTACCGTAGGTGGCACGGTAAGACTTAAACCCAGGACCGATTTACTTTATCATTTTGATGTCCCTAGAGGCCAAACACGCTATTCGTTGAAATTTATATATGTATATACAAAATATAGGATTATATATGTGTCCATGAACGTAAAAACTCAAGTAATTTTTGTCCAACTTTGAAAAAAATTTGGTTCAAAGGTGTAAGGCGGGATAAACTTGAATGAATTTGCGAACCAGCATGATCGAACCATGGGAACTGGATTTTAAGGGGGGTGAAAACAGTTTTTTCTCATTTTTGTCCCTCTCTAGACCTTTTTAAGGAGCTTAAAAAAGCAAACAACTTTCAAAGTGTTTTTGCGGTTAACTTATTGGTAACGGAGAAAATTCAAAAAATTGTAAAATAAAAATTCCCATGTTATTCTTATGGAGAATATTGTAAAATGTTGTAGTTTGCTAGTTTATGAATGTATTTTGATCAAAATTGGCAATTTTTTTATTTTATACAAAGCAATTAATATTTGACCAAAAACCACACTTTATTAGTTTCCTTGGGGCAGCAAACCTAGGTACTCGTTAAACTGTATTCAACTTTTATTTTGACTTAGCCAATACAACTTGTATACATTGTTAATTCTGGCTCAATAAATGATTTGATTTGAAACCTAATGTTATTTAGCCTAAATAGACTGAATTGAAAATAAATTAAGAAAAATGGAAATTCGCTTAGTCGGTAGGTTTGCTGCGGCGGGGGTATTTTTATCAAAATCGTCGTAGTTGATGTGAGCCACCTACTGATTGCGCTGATCTAAAACACTAATTTCTGTTGAATACATGGACTTTTTTAACCAAGTCAAACTAATGGAATGACTTATTGTGAGCTATAGCAACTGTTATGGCCCATCGACTTGGTCAGCAATAACAAATATGATAGAAAATAGAATTTTAGACACAATTTGTGACTGGCTCACAAAACTATGTTATTTTTAATTTAAAAATTGGCGACAGCTGGTCCATATAGATAGGATATCTACTTTAGTATCCAATGGTCAATACTACCACCCACAGTCAAATATGATAGCCTAAATAATAATATTTTTCAACAAGACTGCCATATTGATTTTGTTCATAAAGTAACTATTGCTTTTTCATTGAATATCATCCATTGACATTTATACAACTAGAAATTCCACCCCATATAAAGTTATTGCCTTTTTTTAATCAAAATTGTCGTAGTTGATACGAGCCACTGATAGATTGTGTTGATCTAAATTACCAATTTATATCAAATACACAGAATATTTTACCAAATCAAACTAACTTAATTATGAGTTGACTTCTTCAACTAACAAGCTGTCATCCTTTAGAAGGAAATCCCCTGGCCTTATCTCTGTTACAGTATGCTTGTTTCATAGCATGCAGTTACCTTCCAGTCAGTTGCTTCATGCAGTTTGTTATTTTTGTTTTTTCCCTAAAATCTAATATATTCTTGTTATAATGTAGGAATGTATGGATGAGCTATAGCAACTCTTTTATGATCTATCAACTATGTGAGCAACAAAAAATATGGTAGAATAAAGGATTTTAGACACTAGCGCATTCTATGACTGGCTCACATAACTATGTTCTTTTTAACAACAAATTGGCAATAGTTGGTCCATATAGATGGAATGTCTACTTTAGTAAGCCTATCCAATAGTCAACGATACCATCAACATTATAAATAACAACAGTATCATAAATTTAACTTTGCTTCCAGCCTAACGGAAGGTTTGAGGTTCAAAAGAAGATATGCCTGAGTATCTCGGGTCATCACCCAGAGACTTGGCAACCATCATGGTCCATACGGACAGCTTTGTTGGCTCTCATAGCTTTCATGCCTACGCCTGCCAATGGGACTATAGGAGCCATCGACTACACCCCTGAGGAACGCCAGAAACTTGCTCGCAAGTAAGAAACCATAGTCAATAATATGTTGAATGAAAGTATTACGAAAACCTACAAAATGTTTTTTAAATGTAAAATTTCTTTTATCATAGTGTACAGTATTTAACTCAGCAATGTATGTATTAGAGGCCTAATCTATGTAGAGTTGGGATAGTTTCTAGTTTATATTTGGAGTTAGTTGATCAATTAATTTGGATTATCTTGATTGCCTATCAGTTAAATACATTTGTCATAGTAATTTTTTTTTGTCTCGGAATGAATTCTGAGTGTAACGTGGAAATGTAGATCAATTATTATATGTAGATCAATTGTTATATTGAGGGTCTACTAACATGCAATATGTTTTTAAAATATGGAGCGTTTCACTAGCCCCATCACCATGAAAAAATGAAGATTGCCTTAACGCTCCATTCACACTATATGGTTTCTGTTGTCCGGTTAAAAACAGAACGATCTTGAGCCATTTCTATGTTTATTTCACATTACACGGTTTCTGAACGCAGGTCAAGATGAATTTGTTTACAATGTCACTATCAACATAAACAACTAAGACACTGGATAACTAAGATTGTAAAATTTATAATAAAACAGTGCAACAGCTGATCTAATTTGCACTGACTGGTGGGTTTTTTGACAAAAAACAATGCAAAATTGAAGCTTGTGTTTTACTACATGTACCACTGTCACACCGCTTTGGCGCGACAGCCATCCGGTTCAGTGGCAATGGATGGCTGCAAGACAGCACGGTTTTCTGCCGTCGCCGTAACCATATAGCTTGAAAGCTCCCATGCTCTTCTTTACACTGTCTCTAAAAATAAATGGTATCAGCAATCTGACACATACTTTCTCCCATTAGCTTGTCAACAACCTTTATCATGGGTAAGCGATGAGAGTAATTATGTATGATATATATAGAAATTTTAATATTATGAAATTATTTGCTTCACAATCTTAAGAACAATGGAAAGCGTTCGCTGACTCTAGTCAAAGGAATTTGAAAGTTAAATGCAAGATAGCACGTTTCCCACAGGCAAAGACCTGGCTGAGAACAAGCCAGACAGATATTGAATTTCTATCTCGACTGCATAGTCGAAGAAATCAGAACCGTTGGGAAGAATCAACCAGAGAAACAATATTGTTTCCAGCGTTTCTAAGAATTGTTACATGCATACAACAATAAATTTACTTACCGTCAGCACCACGCTCTCTGTAGGCTGGTCACAAGAAAAGAAGCCAATGGGGACGCTTATGGGAAATATTCCACGGATGATTAGAGGGTAGGTGTTTCCCGAAGACATTGGGGGAAGAATGACGTATCGAAGAGGGGAAAGGAGGTCTTAGAGACAAAAATATTTCGTCAGTCTTGGAGTAAGCTCAAGAGGTCGAACATCTTAGAAGAAACCTTTGTGAGTTCCGGATCGAGTAGGGACAGTGACTGAACCGGATAGTCTGAAGCACCTGTTAAGATCCCGACCAGACTCAAGATCGTGAGGCCACATCAACCCCACGGCTACTTGTTTTTTTTTTACTAACACCAAGGACCACTACCCACTACCATTGGCGTCGTCAGCATCAGAACATTGAGGGGGACAAAGGTGTGTCCTTCCCCAAGGGGGTTTGGGGGGTATGGAATTTTTTGAAAAATTTTATGAAAAATTTTATGAAAAATTTTTGAAAATACTGCCCCTAAAAACACTGTTTTTAAGCATGGATTTAAAGAAAATACATAGTATTTCCTCTCAAAAATATGTCTATATAATTAATATTTGTAACTATTTTGTCATATAAAAACATGTGTAAAGTTGTTACGTGACAAAAACAAAACACTGAGAGAGGTTAGGTAAAACCTTGTAAAACTTAGGTTAAATCGAAACAAAGCAACATACAGCACAGCTGCAAACGAGTGCAGAGACCAGAGAGGAAGAAAACATAGAGGAAACACAAAGAGGACGAAATTGCTCGCCTTTATGCCATTCAATTACTATACAACGTTGGATTGTTATTTTTATGATTATAATACCGTAGGCACACTTATTTATTCTAATAGTTATAACGGTTTAAGAGGACCTTAATGATATGTGAAATCTTTGTCAGTTTGACGTACATTAAGTAAAGGAAATCTTTTGAAAAATTGTGACCATAAAATTACGTTTGAACACAAATATTTAAACCCACAATCCTTCATTTTTACAAGCAGGTTTTTTATTTAAAACTATTGTTTTTGGCCTCAAAACATATTTAAACATAGAATTAAAACTGATACTAAATAAAAAGTTTACACAGGTATTAGGTAAAATCTTATTATCAGGTTTAATATGCTTTATTTAACACACTCACTACTGATATTAAATGCAGTCTCTCATATTACATTATAAACATTAACTTTTCTTTATTTCTTTATTTACTATCCTTGATGGAACCAAAAACGTTTCTCCTAGTTTCTCATTTTGAAATGAACAGTTTTGCAACCCGTTTTTCGTCCACCTTGTCTAATACGTCTTTGTGGACGTAACCAAGAGCAACATGATTCAATCTTTTTTGAGTCATGGTGGATCTGAGGTACGTCTTCAGTTTCTGCAGAGCACTAAAGCTTCGCTCTGCTTCACAACTTGAGGCTGGACACACAAGCATTAACCTCACCAGAACTTCAACATTGGAGAATAGCTCCCTCACCTCTTTTGTCATAGAGGTCAGAACATCCTTGGCGTCTTTTAAATTCAGCACCTTGTTTCTTAGGTGGAAAAGCTCAAGTTCTGACTTCAACGTTTGAACGTTGATTTCCGGATATGGCGCTAGCACACTGAAATCATAACTGTCTCTTCTTAGCAGGACTTTCTCGAGCTGAATCTGTTTTTTCATACCAGCCTGTTCAAGTATGCGAGTTTTGAGACCATGTACAGCCGTGTCAATGACTTCAAAGTACTCCCGTCTGAAATGTTCTTCTGTTGAAGTAAACTCGTAGCCGTAGTCATTAGCATTTCCCTCAGATATCTTTTTAGGCACTTTCTTTCGTCTTGGGAGCCTTAATTCTTCTAGGCCTAGCTCAGCTATGGACTTGGCACACTCTTCGTAGACAGAAGAAAACTGCTGGTTGGTTCTGAGGTTTTGCAGACCATCAACAATGAGTTTAACAGATTCATATAATCCAACCACTGTTTTCTTCTCGCCTTGAAAACTTTTGTTTAGTAGTTCCAAAAGTTCAACAACTTTTCTACCCATAATCAGGCCTAAGTACGTGGTCCCATCTTCAAACACACTCAACAAACCACTGGCTCCTTCGTACTTACGTTCTGTGAGTTCATTCAAAGTTTTCAAAATTAATGGATACTTTTGCAAAATTTCATTGATTTGCCCTTTCCGGTATATCCATCTTGTGGGACACAGAGGTTTTATTTTTGCAATATTACTGACTGGACCTTGAGCTGCATCTTTAACTATATGTTTGTATTCATCTTTAGCTTTTGTGTTCGAAAACAATACTCCTAACTGATGAGCCCAATCCATTGCGTTTTTGACGGTTCTTGAAGTCTCACAGCTTGCTTTCATTACTAGATTGACACAGTGAGCACCACAGTGAATGTAGTCAGCAAGTGGTTGTTTCTCTATTACTACCTACTGAGTTCCTTTATGGATACCACTCATGTTACCAGCTCCATCGTAAGTTTGACCACGAAGATTGGACAAAGGGAGCTCCAATCTAAGCAACACGTCAAAAATAAGAGCTGCTATATCTTTTCCACAGGTATTTGCCGATTCATAAAAGCCTAAAAAACTTTCATGAGGTTCGAGATCAGCATCAGCCCACCTGACACAAACACTGACCTGTTCATTGCCAGCAATATCTCGCGTCCCATCACAAATGACAGAGTACATCAAAGGGTTGCTTAATTTAACGCTCTGAACTATACTGGATATGATTTCATTTCCCAATATCTGTATGATTTCGTTTTTTATAGTAGGGTGAGTATAGGTAATATCTTTTTCTAGCCACCGTTTCAAAGACGACTTGTCCTCACAGCGAACCTTCAATAGTTCCATTAGATTTCCTTCATCATTTTTGTGTCCTCTTACTGCCATACCTTGTCTAACGAGATACTTTACACTACTTATTATAGTCATAAGAGATTCTGAAGCAAGTTTTTGTTGTTCGAGTTTAATATGTGAGAGTTGTGACTCAATAGGTGCTTGTAACTGAGAGTAGCTTAAAACAGCTTGGCAATGAGCATCACTCGTTTGGTGGTTTCCAAACTTTTCAATAGCTTTTTTCCAGTTACTGAACCCTTTTTCACTAAAAGCCTTATCTGCTTTGGTAGCCAGCGTTTTTGCTGGGCACAACTGAGCATATCTTGTACAGTAAAAACAGCTTACCCCTTCAGCTCCAGCCACATGTAGCCAAGGAAATCTCTCATACCAACTGGTCTGGAATTTCAGCACTCTACCTGAAAGTTTTTGCACCGGAAAATCCCCTGGTAGGATTTGAGGCTGATGAGGAGAAGTGTGACGAATAGAGCAGTCAACTGATGACACTACGTCTTGGTTGTTTCCTCCATCTTGCTGTGCTTCAACTGATGGAGAGCAAACAAACGATGATACAGCTCCAGAATTTGATGGCGACAATATTTTCTTCTGTTCAGGTGTAATATGTTCTTCGTCAGTTTCTTGATCTATAACAAAGTTACATTTTTAATAAGACTTCCGAACTACCTGTTAGAATAACAAATGACACCAAGATCACTTTTAAAATATTTTCTTCTGATTTAGTTCTGATTAATTTTTTTTAATTCCGTAACATGAAATCAATAACTATCTACGGAAAAGTTCTTGTTATCTTTTACAAAAATATATAATACTGTATTTACTTACCATTGTCCTTTTTTTGTTTTTTAAAAAATGATAACAAATTTTGTTGTCCTTCTGCTCGTTTCATTTTTCATTTGTCAAGAACCAGTTCAATGTACCTACTTCCAAAAAGTTTAAATTAAAATAACTATATAACCGATACTACACATAAAACACACAAGGAGAAAAAGGTTAGCTTAACGTACATCCAAATACTGTAGTATCAACAACTGCCGACTGAAACGCGAGAAGAAGAAGCAACGTCTAGACAAGCGTCTAGGTATCCAGTGCAACTCGAGGATCGTGAATCGGTACAGCCCCCCACCACCGCACCACGTCGTACGCTTCCGCATCATACAGCGGAGCGAGCACCTTGCTTGCTGGCAGGGATCGATCAGGTGAACACGCATTCTGTATGATTTTTTTAATTCCTTTTAAAATTTGCGACAGGGGGGACAAAACTGGCTTTTCAAATATTGGGGGGGACGCGTCCCCCATGTCCCCTATGGCGGCGACGCCCGTGCCCACTACCAAGGACCACAACCGGACTACCAAGGATCTATCTAGTTTTGCCTAGCAACCGACAATGTTAGCATTTTATTTCTAAGCAACATTATACAAACCTGTAGTTAAGCATAAATAATACTGAATAAGTTTTAACTCTCAGGTTTATGCTTGTTTTATCATAGGTATTCAAACAGTAAAAATATTTTATAATTCATTGATCGGAAAATTTGTCTGATTTTTATAATGTAATAGTGTTATGTCTAAACACATAATTCGTTGTAAACATGATATGATACATTTTACAGTAATAGCATAGGTCTGAAAACATAATTTAGTTGTTTGCAAGTGTGTTGCCTGTGCAAACATTAATGACAGTTTGACTAAAGTAAACAACATGTGTTTACTATCTTATTGATCAAGAACAGTGCTGTAAATTCACTACCGTAAAATAACGTTAAACATTCAGACTTGAAAGCTTTTATTTAAAAAGCTACTGGGGATACTGTTCTATTTGGGACATTTGTTATTAAAGCTGAGTTTTGACACAATGTGGTTGGACAAAAGTCTACCTTGTACCAATCTACTTAATCTTTTTATGAATAAAATTCTTTGTAGTGAGCAGTGTTTAAACATTGTTGTCTTTATATTTTTTGGGGGAGAAATGTTTGTGATGTGAGAACAGAAAAAATGATAGGAGAATAGTTGGCCGTGAATATCTTGAGTTGAATTTACAGTAAAAGCTAATCCGGCATCGGTCTAAAGGGCTGAAATGTTTTTTTTTTTATTATTATTCCATTTTAGCGTCATCAACAGACATTGGGAGGAGTAGGGGCCCAATCACGAGGCTTTAATCCTATCCTGGGATTTGATCAAGACAATCTTGGAATCTTGGAATTTTATGATTCTCACTTTTTAACCAATTCTTATGAGCGAGAATCGCCCCTTTGTTGAGTCCTCTAATGTATAACAGTCCTCACAAACAATAGACTGCAAAAATACTACCATACAAAACGTTCATCACATGTCCCTCTTATTTCAAGTAAATAAATTTTGATTAGCCACTCTAGATTATGAAATACACGACACAAAAGAAAACATGATCAGTTAACGTAATTATAAATGATTTTAGGCTTTCGATATCATTAAGAAAATAAATGCCTTGTTCCATTGTCACACTATATTTGTCTAACCTTACCTTAGATGTTGTTTGGATATAGACTGATCGATTTTCTAGTTGCTTTATTTAGGTTTTATTCAATCTGGTTTATAATAAAAAGAATTTTACATTTAAGATCCATGTCCAGTATAACAAACAAACCAAAAGAAAATATTATAATCGCCTTGGGCATTGGTGTAAATAAATATTACATTGATAGCTAACTCCTCTTTTAGGGAAGTTCACTGAACAAGCACTACGCAACAGTGTTAGTCTATACTCTCAGAATTATTAATTATATTTTTTACTTCCTAGGTCACAGTCTTGGGAATGTCCTTCATGTGGCAAACTGAGTGAGATTCTGAGCAAAGATCCTACTGGAAAACCTGTCACTCAAGACGAGTCCACAATGATCCAGAATGTTGTTTTTAAGGTAAATAATACATTAATGCTAACACAGGGTGTATACCAACCGGGAAAACCGGGAGAACCGGGAAATAACCTTGAATTTTAAGGGACCTGGAAAAAACCGGGAAAAAGCTGGGAATTTTGGACCGAATCCGGGATTTTTATTTTAGCCCCGGTAGAAGATTGTAGTCGTAAAATGCGTCTTGCCGCGGTTGCGGGCGACGACGATGACGTTTTCGTGGCCGCGGGAGACGACGATGACGTTTCGTGACCGCGGGAGACGACGATAACGTTTCCGTGAACGCGGGAGACGACGATGACGTTTACATGGCTGCGGTAAATATTCATGATTTTACCGCGATAGCGTACTTCGACGATTACGTTTCCCTAAAAGCTGGAGTCAATGATGATGTCTACACGGCCGTGGAAGATTTTCATGATTTGCCGTGACCGCGAAAGATGACGATGATGATTTCTACACGGCCGCGTGAAATACTCATGATTTTGCCGCGATTGCGACCTACGACGATGACGTTTCCGTGACCGCGGGATACGACGATGACGTTTCCGTGACCGCGGGATCAACGATGATTTCTACACGGCCGCGTGAAATACTCATGATTTTGCCGCGATTGCGACCTACGACGATGACGTTTCCGTGACCGCGGGAGACTACGATGACGTTTCCGTGACCGCGGGAGACTACGATGACGTTTCCGTGACCACGGGAGACGACGATGACGTTTCCGTGACCGCGGGAGACGACGATGACGTTTCCGTGACCGCGGGAGACGACGATGACGTTTCCGTGACCGCGGGAGACGACGATGACGTTTCCGTGACCGCGGGGTCAACGATGATGTATACACTGCCACGGGAAATATTCATGATTTTGCCGAGATCGCGGACGACGACGATGACGTTTCCGTGACCGCGGGAGTCGACGATGACGTTTCCGTGACCGCGGGAGTCGACGATGACGTTTCCGTGACCGCGGACGACGACGATGACGTTTCCGTGACCGCGGGAGACGACGATGATTATGTCTACACGGCCGCAGATGTTTATGATTTTGCCGAGATCGCGGACGACGGCGATGACGTTTTCATATCTGCGAGAGGCAATGATGATGTCTACACGGCCGCGGAAGATTTTCGTGATTTGCCGTGACCGCGAAAGATGACGATGATGATTTCTACACGGCCGCGTGATATGCTCATGATTTTGCCGTGATTGCGACCGACGACGATGTCGTTTCCGTGACCGCGGGAAATGACGATGACGTTTCCGTGACCGCGGGAGACGACGATGATGTAGACACGGCCGCGGGAAATATTCATGATTTTACCGAGATCGCGGACGATGACGACGATGACGTTTCCGTGACTGCGGGAGGCTATGATGATGTCCACACGGCCGCGGAAGATATTCGTGATTTGCCGTGACCGCGAAAGACGACGATGATTTTGTCTTCACGGCCGCAGATGTTTATGATTTAGCCGCGATCGCGGACAACGACGATGACGTTTACGTGACCGCAGGATCAACGATGGTGTTTACACTGCCGCGGGAAACATTCATGATTTTGCCGAGATCGTGCACGACAACGATGACGTTCCCGTGACCGTGGGAGTCAATGATGGTGTCTACACGGCATCGGAACATTTTCGTTATTTTGCCGTAATCGCGGTCGATGAAGATGACGTTTACGTGACCGTGGGAGTCAATGATGATGCATACGGCCGCGGAAGATTTTCGTGATTTTGCCGCGATTGTGGATGACGATGATTACGTTTTCGTGATCGCGAGAGATGGCGATAATGTATACATACCGCGGGAGATGTCCAGGATTTTTCTATGGTAACGTAAGACTGTGATGACGTTTACCTTACCGTGGGAAGCGACCGCACGACCGCAGGAAATATTCAGGATTTAGCCGCCGTTGATAATATTGTGTTCATAAAAAATGAAGATAATATTCATGATTTTGCTGCATCGAGAGAGACGATGTTTCCGTGGACTTAAGTAATGATGATAATGAAAATTATTACTATAATATGGATTATTACTTTTTCAACACTAGCTCACTGGACTTTGAAACAAATTTAATGTAAATTTATATTGTATACTTAGGCTGCAAGTCTTAAATTGATTATAGTTTAAGTGGAACCAAACAAATACGCGGGAACCTGGAAAAACTTGGAAAAACCAGGAAAAAACCTGGAAAAAACCTGGAATTTCACTTTAATAAAATAGTATACACCCTGTAACAGATGTGTTTCGTCTTTGACTATTAATACAACGTTTGTATCCAATAGTCAATGGTTTCGTTTAAGAAATGTGAGTGTGAATCTGTTGTGTTGAGATTTAATTTTTTTTTATCTTTTGACAACTATGGATATTGTAGTAGGCTAATTCTTATGTTCTAAACCAAAGTGTTTTTTTTTTTTCTTAATAGTGTTGGTTTTTTTGGATCATGGTAGATTAAACAAATCTCAATTTATAATGCCTACGCAATTTAAATCTAATTTAAAACTTTAATTTTTAACATTTAGGCTTATGGGTGGTTGTCATGGTGGTTACCAAGTAACAAGGTAAATGTAAATAAATAATCATAGCATAAATAGACATTCCATCCCCATGTTATAGTTTTTTTATTTTTTTTATTTTTTTTTTATCACAATTTTATTTACAATTTGTTCATTTTTAGAACATTTAGCAAATACAATAACAGCTTTTAATAAAACGTTAGTTAATCTCTGTCCATTGACAGAGCTAACTTAAAAATATTTCAATGAAAAAATAAATATGTAAATAAACAAGAGAAAATTAAATTGTTTAAACAAAACGTGTGCTTGGATCCAAAACATGAATCCTTTTTAGCCTGTATATACTGGTACTGTTGTCCAAGAGGTTTAGAGCCAGGTGATTAGGGTGATTTTCAAGTTTCTTTAGATATTTTGTACTAAATTTGGTTATTTCCTCTTCAACCGTAGGAATTCCACTGTCCTTGTGAAGGATATTGTTATTAACATACCACGGGACTTGCAGAATGAACCTTAAAACTTTTGACTGAAATCGTTGGATGATGTTTATGTTCGACATACTGGACGTTCCCCACAGTTGGATTCCATAAGTCCAAATTGGCTTCAGGATCACTTTGTATAGTAATAATTTATTTGCAATGGTCAATTTTGATTTACTATTTAGGAGCCAGGAAAGATTTTTAAATTTTAAATTTAGGTACATTCTTTTATTCCATATATGGTTTTTCCATGTTAATCTTTTGTCAATCGTCATGCCGAGATATTTCACTTCGTGGGATTGCGAAATTTGGACATTATTTAAGGTTACAGGAGGACAAGTACCTAATCTGGTAGTGAAGGTCACATGAGTAGATTTGCTCTCATTCACTTTTATTTTCCACGTTTGCAACCATTCTTCTAAGTCATCTAGGGAATTTTGAAGATTAAGTGAAGCTACCACTGGATAGCTAGGATGGGACGCTAAAATAGCTGTATCGTCAGCAAAAGTGGCCACAGAAGTATTCACATTTTCAGGTAGATCGGCTGTAAACAGCGTATATAGTACAGGTCTGAGAACACTTCCTTGGGGAACGCCAGCTTGAATTGGGTACAATTTTGTAATGCTATCTCCAAATTTAACTCTGAAATATCTGTCGGTTAGGTATGATTTAATTGTCATATAAAATGTATGAGGAAGATTAAGTTTGAGTTTATAAAGTAGGCCTGTGTGCCAAACATTGTCAAAGGCTTGACTTACATCGATAAAGACAGCTGTACAATAGTTCTTTTTCTCAAGGTCTTCTTTAATTGTATTAACCAATCTATGTACTTGTTCAACTGTGGAATGCTCCCGTCGAAACCCAAACTGATGATTTGGAATCAAGTTTCTGTCCTCTACTTCTTCAAGTAGACGATTCAAGAAGAGCCTCTCAAACAATTTGGATGTTATTGGAAGTAGACTGATAGGTCGATATGAACTTGCTTGTTGGGGTGGTTTTCCTGGCTTTGCTATCATGATTATTTCTGAAACTTTCCATTGTGACGGGAAATACTCAGTCCGTATAATTGAATTAAAAATGAGTGTCAGGTATATAAATGCTTTTCTAGGAAGCTCTTTCATTACTTTTCCCGTGATTAAGTCGTATCCAGGGGCTTTAAACAGTTTTAATTTGTTTACAAGTTTACAGACTTCTGAGGGAGTAAAGGGCTTTATTGGAGGTGATAACTGATTTGGTGAGTCAATGAACTCAAGAATTTTGTCAAGATTATTAAAATTATTATTTTGATTTTGATTGGGAGTAAACACTGCGGCCAAGTGGTTTACAAACACTTCAGATTTTTCAATATCGTTTCTTGCCCAAGTTCCATCGGACTTAGAGATAGGCGGTATCAGGATATTTGGACGGTTCATCCCTCTAGTAGCTTTCCATAAAGAGTAGTTTGTTGTTTTATCAGGTGACAAATTACCTGTATATTCAGAAAACCATTCATTTTTTAAATTTTTCAGATCCCTCAGTTGTCGCCAGGTTTTTAATCAAATTTGTTTTAGTTGATGTGACCCCCTACAGATTGCGCTGATCTAATTTACTGATTTCTGTCGAATACACAATGGTTTTTACCAAGTTAAACTGATTGAACGACTTATTATGAGCTATAGCAACTGTTATGACCCATCAATGATGTGAGTAACAAAAAATAAGGTAGACAATTGAATTTTAGATACTAGCGCATTCTGTAACTGGCTCACACAACTACAGTCCCGGCCATATAAAGAGAGAAAATGTCCAGGTAGACCCAGTCAGGCCTAATGCGCTGTTGTCAAAACATAGCTATTGTTGTGAAACCGAGGGGGCACGCCACCCCATCCCAGCGGTCATTGCTACTGCCTGCTTTTAATTCTTAGAAATAACTAGACCCAGTACAAATTCTATAAATCGAATGGGTGATTGCCTATAATTAAGTGACAGGTCATTTTATTCACAAAGTGAAGACAAATATCACAAAATTTGAATCATAATTATACGTTGCTTCGTTGATTGGCTAGTCGATGTTGAGAAGCAGCAGGCTTGCCGCTCACGTTTATAAAGTAATCTGTTCTCCATAAAAATACAAACAGCTCACTCTATATGTTAAGCGGCCAAAGCCTTTGTCAACTATATTTTCAATATACAATAATATATTATTTCTAAAACTTTTTATGATGATGTCTTTGGTCTACTGCTGCACAGCTACACAGTCACGTGGCGTTTGTGGAAGGGGGGAAGTATGCAGACCCGAGTTAGTCATCGAAGACTCCGCATGGAATGTTATTTCGGAATTTCCAATGGAATTCCTGGGATGGAAATCTGTCAGACCTTTTCAGTTGGTGCTGTTTATTCAATAAGTTAGGATGTGGTGACGGTGGTCTGATTCAGCCAGTGCTGAGGGTGATGGATCGACAAGTGTGGGAAATGGATCTCAACAATCGAAATTAGCAGGACGTGGAATACCGCTAACAAAAGGACAATCAATGAAGCGACGTAGAATTGTGATTCAAATTTTGTGATATTTGTCTTCACTTTGTGAATAAAATGACCTGTCACTTAATTATAGGCGATCACCAAAATCAAAATCTTTTCTTTATAAGAAATACATTGAGATTTTGATGGCCTGTGGGTAAAGCCCGAGGACTTTAATTACAGGAATTGGTGAAAGGGGTCGTCTACACAAAAATATACTTATTTTGACACATTATTTGTAAAAATCCGTCCATTATTAACGGAGGAGTAGTGTTTCGTAGAAATCGCCTGTCACGTATTATATATGAGGATTATATTACCAAATCAATGTTACAATCATAATTATGAACAATACATGGACAGTGAAGAAAAAGGAGATTGAAAGACACGAGGAGATCGCTTGTAACAACAGGTTTAAAATAAATTGGATTCTCATTTGATAAAGTATTGTATTGATTATTTAAAGTTTTATTAAGTTGTTCTGTTGTAACCTATAATATACACCGTGTCCCAAAAAAAACTGAACAATTTTAAATTGTTATATAATACGTCCAGGCATACCTAGTCTACTTTGAAGGTGATCATATGATAACTGAGCTCATGAAGTTTTGTTCAATATCAATTGTAAGTATCAGCTGATTCATTGTTGTCGCTTGAAACTTGAAATTTAAAAACATTGCCCTGTCATTAAGCAGGCACTATGAACGCACGAGAGAAAGCGGAATGTGTTGAGTGGTACATTCAAAGTAAGTCAGATATTGCAAAGAACATTTAGAAGACGCTATGGTCGACGTCCTCCATCACGGAACAGCATTCGAGCCTGGTATGACAAATTTATGTTAACTGGAAGCTTACAACATTTGAAAGGTAAAGAGGTAGGCCGAAAATCCAAAATGAATTGATTGAAAAAGTGCAACAATTATTTCTTCACGACCCTCGAAAGTCTGTTTGCTGTGCAGCATGTGAGTTAAATTTGTCAAAATTATAAGTTTATAAGACAGAAGTTTCCGATGTCCGAGAATTGACGAAAAGAATAAATGCAGCCTTTAACATTACTGACGAAATGCGCCATAGAGTGTGGGCTGAATTGGACAGCCGTATTGACTATCTTTTTGCCAACAATGGTAACCATGTTGAAAATCATTAACACATATGATATCAAACAAACCTTAGGAATATTTGTGTCAGTTAAAATGTAATTAGTTTATCGTGTGTTTGTTGACAAACTTTTTATAAGTAAATAAAATTGTTCAGTTTTTTTTGGGACACGGTATATATTTTTAGCAAATTTCCCTACTGGGAAGTAGCTATTACCGAAGGTGGCACAGTAAGACCTAGGCCCGGGACCGATTTACTTATTCATTTTGATGTCCCCAGAAGCCAAAAACACAATTTGTTCAAATTTTTGTATACGTATATATATATATGGTATTTTTTATAATAATTCTATTTACAACTAAGATTATTTTTGTTCTACATCTTTGTTAGCTCTGCTCAATTTGCAGACCTGAGGCCGCATACCTAGTACATTGTATTGACTGACTTGACACACTCTAGTTCATATTCTAGAGGCTGTAGCTGCTAAACGGGCCTATCTCGAAAACCGTTGTTTTGAGATAATCGCTGTTAAAGTTTAGAGGTTACTATATCTGCGTTGGCAGTCGTCTATGCCTAAAGGGCCTGGTGACACCAGCTGACTTAAAGAGTCATACAAACAAACAAAACTGAAATACACCATTCCAAGTGATCAACGATTAGATTATACTAGAAGACATAAGGAAGCGAAATAGCGAATCTCATCTATAAGGGCCCATCTCGACTTAGGCCCCTTTAGCAGCTACAGCCTCAAAGCTTGATTATATGCATGCCTAGTTTATAGTGTGCTGAAAGTATTTAAGGCGAGAGATAACTTAATAGAACAGTGTAGTTTAAAAAATAGTAAATATGTTTTTTATGAGAAATTCAGTAAAATAGGTACCTGTAAAGATTGATGAAAATTATGATATAAGAAATTATAAGGTTTGCCTGTCACATACTGTGGAACCAGTGAGTTATTGGGCATTGCATGCATAATAGCCTACTGCAAACGTAAAGCTGACATGAGTTGGCCAATGATATCATATTTTAGACAAATAAATAGGTTATTCATAATCTACATAGGATAATTCAGTGGTAGCCAGGGTAGCCTAGTGTTTTGGATTTTGGTGGGAGATTAACGATATCAGCCCTTAGCATAGTCTATTAATAATAAATTAGTTTTGGACAAGGAATTTCTATAAACGTGTTTTGATGATCCTGCATAGCAAATCCGACAAAAGATCAAAACATGACCATGCCATATTTAATTTGTTACAGGCCGATGAAACAACTGAGAGTGGTCAGGTCACCAACACTGGAAATGCTGACTCAGAGAGAATCATGAATGAAAATGCAAACCAAACAACAATACAAGAGAACCAACCTTCCAGCTCCCCAGTGTTTGATTCCCTGAGCAATATTTTAATAGGGCTTATATTTGCAGTAATAGGCTTCATTGTGTACAGGAGAGTATTCTGGTTGTAATAATCCAATTTCACTCAACGAGTCTTTCATTATTGTTTGATTACCATGATTCATAGAGTAAATATTAAGTTTTTTATTGTTAATGCTATATGTTATGATTTGTATTGTAACAGAGTGTAAATTTGCTTTGGTTTTTGCGTCCTCAAAAGTGACAAAATCTGCAAACTGGTCAATTCAAATTGAAAGTCATAAATTCTAAAACAAACGATACTTTGAAAACACCAGTTTGGGTTAAATCTTCCTTATAGTAGCTTTCTACTATGTTTTCATCTTTAAAAAATGTTTATTTATTAAAATGACGACTTAGAATTGAATTTTCCTAGATTACAGAAACTATCGTAGGCCCCTACATTTCGATAGTATTATATCATAATCATTTCCAACGCCAACATTTGTAAAAAATAAGTGTTGGATTGTAAAAAAATAAATAGAATCCATGTTTGATAGTTTGCACTGAGGTTATGTTATTTACGTGTTGGAGATTATTTAAGAACATCGGCACTGATTGTTCCATGGCCTACCTGAGCTTCTTTTAAGGTAAGCTAGCTGCTATCCCTTCATTATACAATCTTAGTCACTTGAGATTTTATAGCAGTCTAAAAGTGAGTTAAATTTATTTAATTGAAACCCAACTTGACAATGTTTTGTCACTGAATCTTTAGGACATCAAAACAGTCACAGTGGGTTCATAAGTGGAATTCCAGGAGTCAGTATTAACCAGGAAATGGATAACAATGACAGATCATAAAGTATTTTGACAATCATTGGAACTGTAAGTTATAAACATAGACCAAAGAATTCAAGTAATTGCATAAGATGCAAACATATATGTTAATGGTAAAGAAAACAACTCTTTATGTATATATTTAGGCTGTTAATATATGTAAATTCATGATATATGAATAAGGTAATAGTTTTGACCAGATAAGCTTTGTAGAGTAAATTACATAAAATTAACACTAATAACAAATTATTGTTATACATCTAAAGAATAAAAGAAAATTGTAAAAAAAAATCTTAACACCCTACAGTTTATTACCTATTCTTTCCATATGGCCAAGCACCAAAGTAATATTTAAAGGTAAGTCCTGCTTAGAGCGACAGGTATGACAGTCGCTCAGCGACTATCGCCGAGCGACTGTCACGGGACACTGGTCTTGGGGGTTTTGCATAGTCCTGTTTTGCTTGGAGCTACTGTCGCTAGAGCCGACTAATCATAAAAATGTACTACTCCACGACCAGTCAGGAGCGACAGTAGCTCAGCGACAATTACTTTTCTGATTGTTTTCATATACTATTTTGACAACTTTTCATTTTTGCTATGGCGTCATTGGCTATCCACACAACGTCTGGGATGAAGTTAGGTTTTAGTGCAGATGAAGACGACCGATTAATAGAAGTGACAGAACTTTATGATATTTTTTATTTTTTTTTTATTTAATTTACAATCTGTTCAAGTTGAACAATAAGCAAATGATATAAATAATAATACAACATTAACTTTAAGAACATGAGCTAGTGATTGACCACTGTCAACACTAGCTAACAAAGAGAATTTTGATAACACTTAGCCGAATCTGAATGGGAGGTCCAATATCGTATGTCGTTTCAGTCTGTAAATGGTGTTGTGATTGTCCAATAAATTAAGTGCAAGATGATTTGAATGATTTTCCAATTTTATAATGTATTTTTCACTAGATTTTGTAATTTCTTCTTTGACTGATCGAATTTGAAGATCATTGTGAAGTGTTCTGTTGGTAACAAACCAAGGAGCGTTGACAATTTTACGTAATAATTTTGATTGGTAACGTTGAATAATTTCAATGTTTGAGGTACTTGCTGATCCCCAAAGCTGAATACCATAAGTCCAAATTGGTTTTAGAACTGTTTTGTACAGTAACAATTTATTTTGTGTACTGAGTTTTGATTTAGATCCAAGAAGCCAATTAAGTTTAGTTGTTTTTAAATTTAGATGTTGTCTTTTAGTCCAGATATGTGCCTTCCAATTAAGCTTTGCATCTAAGTGCATGCCCAAGTATTTTATTTCTGTTACTTGAGGGAGGTGAATATTGTTCATGGATACTGGAGGACATGTAGCCTGATTTAAGGTAAAAGTAATGTGTGCTGATTTATTTTCATTAATTTTGAACCTCCATGTTTTAAACCAATGTGAAATTTCATCCAAGTTTAGCTGTAAATTTGCTGTAGCTTGAGTTGGATTGTCGTGGACAGATAAAATCGCCGTGTCATCCGCAAATGTAGCAAACATAGTGTTTACACTTTCTGGTAGGTCCGATGTATAGAGAATATACAAGTATGGTCCAAGCTCGCTTCCTTGGGGGATTCCTGATTCTATAGGGTAAAGGTCAGTTAAGTAATTTTGATGTTTAATTTGGAAAGTTCTGTTGATAAGATATGATTTTAAAATAGGAAAAACTGAATGGGGTAGTAACTTCTTAATTTTGAATAGTAAGCCAGAGTGCCATCTTTGTCAAATGCCTGACTGACATCAAGGAAAGCAGCAGAACAAAATTGTTTGTTTTCCAAACAGTTTCAAATTGTATGAACAACCCTATGGACCTGTTCCACGGTGCCATGTCTCCGTCTAAACCCGAATTGGTGTCCTGGAATGACGTCTTCTTCTTCAAAAAGAGCTTGTAGTCTTTTGAGGAACAATTTCTCAAACAACTTAGACACTATAGGTAAGAGACTTATAGGTCTGTAGGAAGTGATTTCATGAGGAGGTTTTCCTGGTTTTGGTATGACAATTAATTGGGCTTTCTTAAATTGAGTTGGTATGTGGTCTAGTCTCAATATATAATTAAAGAGAAATGTAATAAAAATAATTCCTTTCCTTGGCAGTTCTTTTAACATTTTCCCAGTGATAGAATCGTAACCAGGAGATTTTTTCGGATTTAGCGATTTGTCAATGGTTGCCTTAACTTCTGTAGGTCTGAATTTTTCCAGAGGAAAGTCAAGTTGAAGTGGAGAGTCCAATAATTCTATTATTTCTTCTTCATTGTTGACCACACCTACATTTGGCTTGAATACATTGGAAAAGTAATCCCCGAAAGCTTCAGATTTTTCTATGTCACTCTTAGCCCAGCTTCCATCCGGTTTACGAATTGGCGGGATTGAAATTTGGGGTTGCTTCAGCCTTTTTGTGACTTTCCATAACAAGTAATCTGTAGCTTCCGTAGCCGACAAAGATTGAGTATATTCTTCAAACCATCGGTTTTTTGTGTCTTACAATAATCTTTTCAAATTCCGTGCTGCTCGGTTAAAGTTGGCTTTATCATTTGGGTTTCTTGAGTTTTGCCAAATTCTTCTGAGTCGTCTCTTTTTTGCTATCTTTTTCTTGATATGAATTGGGTAGCCTAGGACTATTTTCTCTGATTTTTCATGATTAGTTAGAGGTGTGGATTCTTTGGCAGAATTTTGAATACAGTCAACAAAGTGATCAACAGCAGCTTCTACATTTTCAGGACTACGTAGCTGTATGTGTAAATTTAAGTTTTGATTTATAAAATTTCAAAATTGATTCCAGTCCACGTCCCCTGGTTCTTTGTGAAATATTTCGGTACTTAAATTTAACATAACTGGTGAATGGTCAGAAGATAGGTCAAGACAAGATTTTACTTCAGTGTAATTTTGGTTACCTTTTGAAATAAAAAAGTCTAACAGATCAGGGATTTTTCGCATATCAGTGGGCCAATAGGTAGGTTCACCAGTTGAAAAATGGGTGAACTGATTGTCATTCATTAATCTTAAAAGCTGTCTGCCTCTGGGTGTAGCCAAGACCCCCATTCTTGATGCTTTGCATTAAAATCACCCCCTGCAATAAATCTATTACCAAGAGTGTTGAAATACTGTTCAAATTGATTGTAAGTTATAACATGCCTTAATTCTAGACCAGCATAGCCACGACTCCCGGGGGGGGGGGGGGGGGGTTCGGGGGGTATTTCATAGAGTTGAGAAGGTTGAGAGAATGTATGTTTGAGTAAAAAAGAGAGAGGTTCATACGACCCGACCCGCCGGCCTCAGTATCCCACGCTTTCGAATGGTGGTGCCGGCCGCTGAATTTTTATTTCAGGATTAATTTTGCCAACAGCGTCATTTGTAGGCTTCTGATTGGCTGAGGGAACACCATTACCGCAACGATACAAATTGCCATCATCGGCCTCAATGGTATAGTGGATAGAGTGCTGGGCTGATATGCGGGAGCGCCGGATTCGAATCCTTCCAATTTCACTAACTTTTTGTCTAGGATTTTTTTCATTATCAGCAAGTTTGGTTGGGTTATGACATTTTAATTTTATAATTAAAACGTTAAAAAATTGAATTTTAGCCATTTATATTTTTATTTTATGAACAGAACAGTTTTTTCTAATTAAACCTTCATTCGATTTTTCATTATCAGCAAGTCTGGTTTGGTTAGGTTATGACAGTTTAATTTCATAATAAAAAAATATAAAATTGAATTTGAGGCATTTATAATTTTATTTAATGACCAGAACTAATTTTTACCGATTAGTATAACCCTTCATTATAGTCAGAAGCCTCCAAATGACACTGTTGGCAAAATTAATCCTGAAAAACAAATCGTAATTGAGCGTCCGGTAGAAAATCCATGCTGCAGTGGAGAGATATACGGCTTGATGGCGAAATTCAGTCTTAGACTGAAACTTTTTTCTAGTGGGGCCTTGATTCAACCCAACTCAACCACCAACTTAACGGTCAACAACACCTGAAATACATATAAAACAAAGTGATATTTAATCAACGCAGTCAGTCTGCCGTCTGCCTCCAAGGTTTTTTCCACCAGTTTCCGGCCGGCGTTTCGAGTTCGACCGCCGGTCCGGTCCGGCCTCGCCGCTCGCCTCTCTCTCTCTCTCTCTCGCCTCTGTTGAATCTTTGAATCGGAATTCTGAATCTGTGTGCTGCTGCTCGTGCTCTCGATCTGACTCTCTCATCTCTTCTTTTGTCCTTGTCTTGACTGATCTTCTTACGTGCTTACTTTACTTTGTGTTGTCTTCTGTCTTGTCCTGTCCTGATTACTGAAACGACGTAGGCAGTGAGTGAAGATTAGTTCATTCTTCTTGATGAGAATGTAGGTATATCTCTCAACCTAGTAGCTGTGATCAGTTTTTATCAACTAACAACCCACCTTGTGTTGTGATAAGTAGGCCCCATTTCAGAATAGGTGAGTTATAGCATAACTTAGACTAAGCAACACCAAGGGAGTATTATGTGTTTTCTGACAAAGTCTGCCTTATTATGCTAGGCTAACCAAACTTAGCCCACCTTGTGATAAGCAGACCCTCTTCCCTAAATAAGTTGGTAAGTGGTAGCCTATGTTACGCTTTCTCCAACGTTTTAAAGTTACGTCTACGCCTAAGTTATGTGTTTTCTGGGCTGCACTTTAGTTTAAACGTCCCACATTTAGGCCTACTCACATAAAAGTACAGCATGTTTGTTAAGGTTTGGCCTAGGTTACTTTAGAACAGTTTCATTAGGTTATCAGTTGGTAATAGTGTATAATGGTAAATGAGGGGCGCAAACTAAAGTGTATCCGACAAATTCTGTGAGAATTACTGAGCGCGTTCTGGGAACATGCACCGGTGCACCGGTGTTGCCCCGGTGCAAAAAATGTGTCGTTCTGGGAGACCGGTGAGTTAACCTAGCAGACAGCTATTTCCTCTTTTTCCTCCACCGGTGCAAGATTTATGCACCGGAGAAATTGTACGGTGCATAATACACCGGCGTCCTCTGATTGGTCTGTTTCTTGGACAACAGCATGCAGCTACGGCAAGATGGCGGGTCCATCGAATAATGTTCATCAGTTTTATAGGTTATGTTGCGTAATGAGTGAATAATTTATTCTATGAGGGGGTTAAATTACGTATTAAGTGAATAATTTTCAAATAATTTATTCTGTGAGGACAAGTTTGTTTGGTTTAAATATTATTTTTTATAAAGTAAATAATAGGTGAATGTGTAAATTATAATCAGATGTGTACCGTAAACCGGTGAATAACCGTTCTGGGAGACCAAGACTCTTGCCCCGGGGCGGTACCGGTGAATAAGTCACCGGTTAATCTGCACCGGTGCACCGGTACATGTTCCCTGAACGCGCCCACTAAGTTAGCCAAACCAACTTGACGCAGACACAAAAAATTAGCCTATAACCTTCCATCGGGCGATGTCACTACTTTTTTCGTTGTGAAAACCATAGCCTTTAAGTTAGTAAAATTTTAAAAAATACGGCCACGAACAGTATTACCGACAGTGGCGGTTCCAAGGGGGGGGGGGGCGGGCTACAGGGGCTAAAGCCCCCCCTTGGACCCTGGAAAAATAAATTTAAACGTACATTTCGTCCTTAAAAAACACGCAATGTCAAAACAGACATCAATGTAGTTTTTATTGTCCCGACAATGAGGACCCGGGAATTGAACTATGTGTCGCCTCAGATGGATTGGTAATTGGGTGAAGTGGTGTAGGCCTAGACCTAGTGTTGGAACATTCATTCTTAATCAACTCATGAAGTTTTGTTGTAAGATTTAAATACTTGTCCTCCACATTACACCTACATTCTATTTCATGGTGGAAGTTTTCTTCATCGGTTAATGTATCAATTTGGTCTTGAATAGTTTTGTAACGTTCCCACTGGTCATCAATTGCTTTGAGTTTAATACTCACCTCAGTCACTGTAATACTACCTTGAGACTGGAACTGTGTAAAGCAGTTCACCTAGGCCATAACTTGGGATGGAAGGTCAATCTTGATCGGTCTTAGCTTTTGGAGGAAATAGGAGAAGGAAAGCCCTAGTGGCATAGTTTAAAAGGGCTGCTCGAAATAATGTGCTAACCCGTTCCAGGCTAGTGTCTTAGGAGATGATTGGGTTTTTTAGCCGTTAGTCCATCAGGGATATTGGGCCCACGGGAGTCTGGCACTACTGATAGGCCTTTGAGCATCTCAGTGTGCGTAAATGCACAGTGTTCATTTTTGCTCCTCCCCACAAGAAAAAAAACTCAAAAATGTGCGTTCCATAGCTTACATAAGAAAACATAGGTGTGCAGTCCCACACACCATAACTTGAGGTACGCTGCTAGCGGGGGTTCCAGGACAAAACCTCGCAGACACACATTCGTTAAATCAGAGGTGTTTGCATATAAACAGTCATTTGATTATTGATTGCCAGTGTTTTAAGAACCCTTGTTGCAATGCCTGCATGTATACATAGCCTAAAGAGATACTTATCTTTACAGCAGCTTAAGAATTGTGTAGAATTATTCAATACTACAATCAACATGATCATCTACACACAGACAAAAACATATGTGATAATTTTACTATTTATATTTTGTATAATGCTGCTTTATTAGATGCCACAAAAAAGGTTGATATGATTCGGACAACATAAGCACTGGCACTCATCCCCCCGAGCAATGAGGTCAGTCAGCAGTTTATAAAAATTGTTTGCGGTGGTTAAAACTCATAGTTTTTGTTCATTCTGAAATATTTTTTAAAATTATGCAGTCTGTTGGTTCAGTTGTTGAGTCACTACAAACTGACTTTATATATCCACTTTCAAACAATCTTTTGCTTTCAGGTGTTCTTTGCAAAGAAAACCGATATTTCACAATCCAGCCTACTGGAAGAAATACAATTAAATTATGGCAGAGTCGGTGAGTTTATTTCTGATAAGGTTAATACATTTGTGGGTTTTGCTGTTTTAAGCACTGTTCTTAAATCATTTTATGACTTTCTTCAGACTTTGAGGTGCTATCCTTGTTAATGTTAAAAAGAAAATTGAATAATCTTATGGTTACAACAAAAGTGGGATTCAACACTTGTTAGTAACCCGAAATTACAAAGATATCCATGTTTTTCGCTTATTTAGTATGTATTGTAAGCAAACAATATTGATAGATTAAGTAAAGAAAAGTTTGTTGACATGTTCAAAATTTTGGTGTTAAGTTACAGCATTGACTTTTGTCAAAGGTGTAACATTGACATTCACGCGTGTACATTGACGTTGGCAGGACTGGAAGTAAACTGAATCAGGTTCAGGTTATGACGGAACGACGTGGTCTCTGGATTGTCATCTGCGTTTTCAACAGCTGATATTGGACTGAGAAGAGTGAGTGAGAAGAGTGTTGGAAATATAATGAGATTCATGAATTTATATATTTCAAACTCTTCCAAAGTATTTAATAAATTTCCTTTCCCGCAGTAATGTAGAATTTCGAGACCATAATTTATCCAGCATATAAATTGGTTATTATTGTCAATAATTTTGAATGGAAAGCTCAATTATAAATCCCATTATATATTTTGCAGAGCATAAAAAAACAAATAATTTAGTATGGTATATTGAAGCGTTATAATGCGCCTAATGGCTACGGAGAAAATTAAAAAAATTGTAAATTTAAAATTCCCATGTTATTCTTATGGAGAAAATTGTAAAATGTAGTAGTTTGCATGTTTATGAAATACTAGCTGTGTGCCCGATCTACACACGGGAATCTTGTAGCAATTTGAAAACTTCTTATATTTAGAACAGGAGTTGGTTTGCATTTAGTGTGCATTTTTCCAGATATGCTGGCAAAACTATTACTGTATAGGAATACATATAAACCTTCGCAAATAGAATATCTGACAGGTTCAAGCCAAAACGAATGCTTCGCAATTCAATGTCGTGTTAGTCCATATTTTATATCTAATGATAAAAGGAATTGCTTTATAGATCTATGAGGCATAGCACTGAGGTAGGCTTGTAATTGAAAGTTACTTTTCACACTAGTTAAAAGTAGTTAAAATACTACCTCAACCTCACTACTGCACACTTTATTCGGGTTGAAATTCTCATTAACAAAGGTGTTCTTGTCTTTTCCAAGAATCACTGAGAAATAAGGACATTATGTGTTACCAACAGACATACACTCAAACAAATACAGAATTGAATTAGGGGATTTGCTATGCTTTAACCCAAGCAAAATACAAACAATAATTATTTGAAAGTTTTGATAGTGTCATCAAATTTTATGATAATCGCATTTAGGCCTAATCCAACTGTAAAATTGGTGTAAATCCATTGGCAATATATAAATAAGTAAATAAATACACAAGCTTTAAAAATTCATGATGGTTTGCTAAAAATATCTTTCACTAATGTTTTATTATTTTCATAGCTAAACTAATATTTTGGAGTCCAGAGAGAAAATGCAAAAATCATACAGTAAGACATCAATTAAACTTAATAAGCAATAAGGTGCAGCACTAACGATAACTAAGTTGTAAATAGTGATGTGTTTTTACGTATAAATGATTCTTACTACTACCACCGGCTCTAAGGAAAAGTACCAGTACCAAAAACCAACGTTTACAGTTAAGAAAATAACTATAGTACTTACGACCAATTAAACTGTCCTTGTAATCAAACTGTATTATTGGTGTTAATCCGTTGGCAAATACAGTATATAAATAAACAAATACACAGGACACAAAATATTGATACGTCAACAACGTAAAGCTATGATGGTTTGTAAATTCATGATGGTTTGCTCAAAAAATCTTTCACTTGATGTGGTATCAGTAGGCCTACTGAAGTTATTAATCTCCCTTAGTTTCGGATTTTTTTAAGTTTTCGAAAATCAAAGTTATTCCCCATTAATACCATTATTTGTAAGCAAATTCTAATCTTACTAATATTATAAATGTGAAAGTTTGTGTGTTTGTTTGTTTGTGTGTTTGAAGTTCAATCACGCATAAACCACTGGACTGATTGGGCTGAAATTTGGCATGATAATAGCTTACATTCCCGATTAACATATAGGCTTATTCTTATCTCAAAAATCCTTTCGGGCTCCGCCGCAGTGGCTCTGTAATTTCCCATGTTAACCTTATGAGTATTTTTATATTTAAAGGGAATTAAAGATTTTAGTCAGCTGTTTCAACTAAAATACCCCCGCCGCAGCAAACCTGCAGACTAAGCGAATTTCCATTTCCCTGAATGGATTTACACTAAAATGTCTCCTTAAAATTTTCACATTTATTCCCTATTTAAATAGAATCAGTTTAAAACATACTTAGGTTTGCTGCAACAGGGAGGGTAAAAGTGTTTTTTATGTAAAATGTTAATAGTTAGTAAGAAATAAAAACCTTTTCCAAATTTGGGCAAAATATGTTTATAAACAAGCAAACTACAACAGTTTACTTATTCTCCATAAGAATAACATAGGAATTTTAAATTTACAATTTTTTGGAATTTTCTCCGTTACCATTAGGCGCATTATAACGCTTCAATATACTAAATTATTTGTTTTTTTAAGCTCTACAAAATAGTTTAGAAAGAAATTGCAAAATTTTATGTTTTTTGGGCCAAAAATGGGAAAAACCCATTTTTACCCCATAACAGCCCCCATAAACCCCCGTTCCCATGGTCCGATCATGCTGGTTCGCGAACTCGTTCGAATAAACGTAGGTTTACACGTTTGTACCAAATTTCATCAAAATCGGATCATTTTTGCTCGAGTTATCGCGCTAACGGACACATATATATATATAAATATATATATATATATATATATATATAAATATATATATATATATATGAATTTGAACGGATGGTGTTTTTGACCTCTAGGGACCTCAAAACGAAAAAAAAAATCGGTCCCGGGTCCAGGTCTTACCGTGAGTACTACGGTAATAGCTTATTCCCTATGGGAAATTCGCTAAAAGTTGGTTCTATGATAATATGGAAAAGCATTAAAAAGTTATAAGATTTACCAACAGGGTGCAGCACTATATTTTTTTTTTTTTTTGCATTTATGAAAGCAACTAATTTGAACTAAGCAGCAACAAAAAACTGTGATTCGCAATGAGAACTGTCAAAGTAGGATTGTTTACAGTTATGTTTATGTATTTCATTTCATGAATAATTTGTGATATTTTGCGAATTGTTGATAATTTATTTTTCTCTATTGTTTAGGTGAAGTGGTAGAACATTATGGCTATGGTAAATGTGTAATACTACAGAATACTGTAAATTTAAAAAAGCTAATTTTATCAAACTGTGTCCTTCCTTCTTGCAAACGTAAAGCTTGAGTATAAATGCAAAAAAGCATTTTATACTTATATTCCAACCCCGTTACGAAGGACGGGTACTCTGCTAGTGTTAACATATTAATGACAGTTTGAAGAAACCACCTTTATCTGAAGAAAAAAGTTTCTTATTTAAAAGATAACGTAATCTCTGAGCCTATTTTAATTTATAAAGGGATCCTGCATATCTACAGGAAAATATCTTTCATTTGGTACCAACCGTGTGTAATTCGGTCCATTATTATGGTTAGGCCAGCTTTCATAAGTTTTGCAAAAGTTTTTTAGTATGTAAAAATGACTTATTGTGAGCAATGACAACTATTACGGTCCATCAAGATCAACCTATGCCAGCAACAAAAAATAAGGTAGAAAATGGAATTTATAACATTACTAGCTGTTGAACCCGTGCTTTGCAACGGGAAGAGGACACAAAATAGAAACATTTCAATCTTTACATCTGTTGCATATAATAGTTACACATCCGCCAACGCTTTTAGAGACAAAATTCAACTTTTATGGCCTTAATAGAAACGTTTAAGTTATGACTTTTAAACCTGGTAAGTAGTGGATACCAACATTTTGGTTTTGATTATTTTAAATCTTGTGTAGGCTGATATGAGAAAAACTGACCAAATCATCGAATAAAACTTCGACATACATGATTTACCTTCATCTCCCTTGATTACATATCTTTTTATTTATTATTGACATTTTAAATTTCAATTTTGAAGTTGCACAAATACTAATTAATTATTAAATTTAAATGAACATTTTTTTAAATTTCCCTCTTCTTCGTATTAAATCACAAATTCTTCCATCTTCAGTTTCTTCACTCACAATAAATCATTAGCAAAACTATGTCAGCTGTTATAAACTTTTGAAATATTGTTGTGCCTTATCAATACAGTATTTTGAAATATTAAAGAAACTATATCTATACTATAAAAAATGTTAAACAAATAATTTAGCATTAAAGACAGCAGACAAAACTAATATGATTATCAAAGCATCAAGGACTAAAAAATGTAATAGCAAATATAGTATATGTTTCATTGCATCTCTGATTCTACTCTACAAAAATATCAACAAACAACTTAATATACAAATCAGTTCTTTTAATCAGTTTCATCGTCCATTGCCTTTAAATTTTCACACATACCATTAAGTAAACATAGTTACAGATATTACATTGATTTTAGAAACAAAAGAACACTGTGTACTGCTTAGTTTTATGATATTTTCCTTGGTTTAATTTAATCAGTGGTGTGGCAAAAGACAAATAATAAATTTATCAAATAAAGTAAATGTAAAACAGAAATCAAGGACATACAATTTAGTAATCGATGATATTCTTCAGTTTAATTTAAGCATAGGTTTAGCAAAACACAATAGGCCTAACTTAATTTACCTAAATATACATATAAAAAACAATGTGATGTGCAAGTTATGTTAATCTAACACATATTTAGCAGTTCAAATGTTTTAAAGTAGCCTTCAAATTCATACAAAACAGCTATACATTGTAATTTTCATACTGTTTCCATGAAAACATATCAATAACATTATTTTCATAACTTAGACGCTTAAAAAAATCCAAAGCAGATCCGGAGTTGATACAGCAACTGTTATAGAATCTTTTTTTTCTATAATCATTGACATAGTTTTAGAACAAATAATCCATGATAAAACGTTAGATTAAAATAAACCTATCTCAGAATTATGGAAAACATTATATTTAATTTCTTTGTATCAGCTGTCTGAAATTATAAAATATGCAATTTAGCAGTTCTTTTTGTTTACATTAAACTGTCAAAGCAAATGTAAACAAACATTGTTAGTGTTCTCATTGCAGCCATGGAGACCAATCAATATTTACTTTTAAAATCTTCATCTCAGAACTTTTAAAGCCAAAGGGGCAAAGCCTACGGTCCGTATCGAAATGTGAATAGTCCTATAATGGTCCTTGGTAAGGTAGATATATTTTTACAAAATTTAAGCCCAGTTGGTTCAGTATTTTTTGCACCTATTAGTAATACACATACAGAAAGACACCATTAGATTTTTATATAATAGTATAGATAGCAAATTCTATAACTGGCTCATACAACAGTATTTTTTATGCAAAATTGGTGACAGCTGGTTCATATAAATGGGATGTCTACTTCAGTATCTAATAGTCCCAAATATCTACTTCAGTATTCAATCAATCAATCAATCTTTATTAAACAAAAAAATACTCTTACAGGCCAAATATTACAATTAACATTCAACTCCATTCACATTCTTAACTGAAATTAAAACCAAACTAAAGGACAATTTCTCCCAGTTTAAAATAATCATCTAGACTATAAAAAGGGTTCTGAAGTAGATAATTATAAAACATGGCCCTAAATTTGTTAATTGAATGAAAATTTATATTATTTTTTACTGAATTATACACTTTAATTGATAAAGTAAAATTGTTCCGCCAATGCAATAATGAATTAAAATTTTTTTTTTGTTGCTGTATTATTGGAGGAAAACTACTTAACTCCCAAGGAATGCAGGCCTGTATAATAAAAACAACCTCTTTCTTTGCAATAAAAGGTTTTTTGTGTTTAAAAATATTAAAAATATAATAAAAGTCGTGCATTTCTTAGAATGACTAATTAAAGTAAAATATATGATTATAATACCTTAATTTCCATTTGATTTTTAGGAAAACACTGAATCTAAATTGAAGAACATCACATCATCTCTGCAAAAGATTGTAGAGTGTCCAGTATGTCTGGACACAATCCAAATTCCATTTAAGACATGCAGCAGAGGCCATGGGGTTTGCAACAGCTGCTGCGAGAAGTTAAATGACTGCCCGACATGCGAAGGTCCATTTACAACAGAGAATCCTGTGTGTTTAAAAAATATTCTGGAAGCCATACCTCGTCAGTGCAAGTACCATGGAGATGGTTGCGAATACATTATGGAGGCCGGGAGCGACCATGAAGAATTTTGTGGTTTTAGACCTGCAGAGTGTAGGGACAGCGATTGCATCGCTGTGATTCCTTTGATAAAATTGGTGGATCACTATCAGAAAGAGCATTGTGACTCGCTCTTTAAGTATGAAGGAAATTCACCTCGTTCTTGGATTTGGGAACATTATAATCTTAAGAAACACAATTGGGATCATTCACTTATCTTCATGTTTGACAATATATTCTGGTTTTCTGATAGATTAAATAAGAAAAATTTAGAACTTACCTTTGAAGCAACTCCAATTGGGAGGTTGAAAAATGAATATTTTTTAAGAGTACAGTTTGAAAACGATAAGTTTTTATATGCATCTACATTAAAGGCTTCTGTGGTGAAATGCTATGAAAAAGGGGAGAAAAGTAACACAGTTGATAAAAATAATTGCATGATTATTCCACAGAGTGCCTTACATGATATCATTAATGAAAGAAGTCTTGAATGTAAGACAACGTTTTTTGAACGCCAAAAATAAAATCTGCACATAAAATTTATTTAAATTGTGTTGCAATGTTTAAGTTTTGTGTATGAATGTTTGATATTTTAGGTTTTCCTCCCTCAGCTGTGTAGAATACCAGCCTATTCAATCAGGATAAAACTTGAACAATCTATTATGCTTTATTTTATTATATTTACAGTATAAGGGTTAGGTTAAAGTGTAAGCTTTGTAAACTTAATAGTCAATGCTTATACTTAAATATCCTGTCATCATCAAGGAATCTAATATAGTCCAGTACAAATAGCAACAAAAAATGACCTAACGATATCCATAGTGAAAGCTAATTTTTTACTTGTTCAATATTCACTAGTCCTAATATTTCATAGTACAAAGTTACACTAATGTAAGCATTGGGGGGTTAAAAAATCAGTAGTTTTCTTTTAAATGTCTTGATAACTTTGCGGTTAAGCGCAAATCACTTTAAGTTACTTACAAAAAATAATTTAGGATAAATTATCGTTCACTGTAATAGTTATTTAGATATTTCATAAAATGCAAAAAACTGCAGATTTTTAACTTTTTAACCCTTACCCCGGAACATAATATGGGATGGGAACTGTATTGAACGGTTTTGAGTCAAAAGTTAGCTTTCACTTTGGATCTTCAGGTTTCGGTCCAACTGCACCTAATATCAAAGACTAGCATGATGTGCAAATGTGTACCATGATATGACTTTACAGTGCCTTTAACTAAATGATTTTGTTGCTGTGAAGAGTAATACGATAGTGACATATAATAGAGGAAACTTGGACAATATGTTTTAAGATTTGTATGTGTATGGTTTAAAATGTCAATTAATTTAGCTCATGAGATACGGTACAATGAATATCTGTAATATGCAGATAGTAGGGCTGGGCAAAATGATTTGTGATGTTATCATTTTAAAAGTGATCTAAACTACGTCATTATTTTGTATTTTGCCACACAATGATGCAAATGATGGTGTTTCTTGGTAGGTCTACTTTTTTATTTATTTTCTATTAAAGCTATTTATTTTCTATTTTAAAGATATTATGCTAGTTTAAGTATTTTGATAAGCTTATGTAATCTAAAAAAGCCAGACTCAATGAAACTTAACTTGATTGTGTAAGAAATATTTTTTGCCTGATTGATTTCACCTAAGGATTGTTCTTATCCGAACAATGAGAATAGCAGCTGCATATAGGCCTACAATAATACTGGCTAACTATAACTTATAATATGTATCGTACTCCCTATGAGGTTACTAGCCAAGTCTATCTCAAATTTGTCACATATTTAATAATTAATAAAGAAGTAAAACAAAAGAATTTGTTAAAGAATGCTGTATCCAAATATTTAACTTGGTAGTTTTGGCATGCAAGCACAATGTGAATTTAAATTAGTGATGGGCGATACGGACGGGTATCGCGATACGATACGTATCGGAAAAAAATATCGTATCGCCGTATTGCATCGAGCATCTGTATCGCGATACGCGAATTGTATCGTCAAAAATATTGAAAAACGATACGTATTGTATGGTTCCCCCCTCCCCTACCTAACCTAGAAACGAAACGACCAATTTATATAATTAATAAGGAATGTCAAACTAACATAAAGCTAACTTGATATCTAGACACTAAAATTATTTAATGATGAAAAAATCTAGCCTACATTAAACTCACTCTCTGGTTATCTCTTGTTATGATTTGAGAAATTACAGTACATTAAGGAGCTTAATAGGCATATATGAAATACTTGTGATATCTACTGTACCGGTACACTAAGAAATTACTTTAGCTCCACCCAGCCACTCTCTCCTCCATACAATCTTGGGCTTTACCCTTAATTACGTTAGGTTGGGTTATCATCTACAGCAAAACTCTTATTTATTAACAGATTTTGATGATTGATGTGTCAAATTAAAGGGAATTATCTGCAGAAGTCATGGAACAATTTTTGTCACGCTCAGTTCAATGTGCTTTGCCCCATTGGACTTAAAAGTTGCCATGTATTTTGAAATATAAGCGAAAATTTAGTTAAGTTTATCAAACATGATTCATTTCTTTTAAAAAAACATCTGTCTTCATAAAAATAACCTCTTTCCCTTATGTCATTTAAATATTTACTTTTTCTATTTCCAATACAAGGATGACTGATGAAATGGGATAGTTTATTTGTGCAGTTTCATTCAGAGTGTTAGGGAGATTTATATCAGGAATTGTAAAGAAATATTATGGGATGAAGCTCCTATGTCTAATAAAGTATGCTTTATCGTCTCCGTCTGTAGAAAGATTACCGTACTGCGAGATATTGCCAAAAGAGAAGACAAAGAAAAGCCTTTTGGTGGAAAGGTGATTGATTGTTTTGGGAGGTGATTTTCGGCAATATGCTCCCATAGTACCTGGTGCAAGTCGCTGTGCAATAGTAGACAATTCAATAATTAGGTAATCACCTTTATGGCCAATGTTTAAAAAGATTTTACTTGCTAAAAACATGAGAGCCAATCCAAGTGCATCAATATTTGCTGAATATCTTTTATGAATAGGGAATGGCCAAGAGAGCTACCATAATGATCTTGGTGAGTCATTGATACGTCTTCCGCCACAATGTATTGTGAATTAAAATATTATTGACAAAATCTTCAGTTAAGGATTCCCTGAAGATGCTTTAAAAAGGCAAAAAAATCATGCAAAATACTTTCACCAAAGAATGAACTTTGTGACGAAATAAATAATGAAATGAGTTTACTACTCAGTGGACACTTTGATTCAAGAAGAGGGAGACCAGTTACATGTATACTCTGATTATCGAAAGAATGTACCTTGCGGAGCGGCCGTGTGTCGACCGAGTCCAACTACAAACATTCTATTTCACAAACTTGTGGAAACGTGGTGTTCAAATACGAAATACATTTTCAGCGCATGTTTTAAATATTTTTTATCTTATTCCGATGAATTAATATTTATAGATATATTTGTAAAAACACAAATTTGCAAAATTTTAATTCCGATTCTTGTTTTTACAAATATAACTACAAATATTACTTCATCGGAATAAGTTACAAAATATTTAAAACATGTGCTTAACTGATTAATTAAACACCGTTTATTAGAAATTTCTAATCTTCTGTGTTACGTTCCCACAAGTTTGTGAAACAGAATGTTTATACTAAAACTCGCTCACCGCACGGCACATTCTTTCGATAATCAGAGTATACCTGATGAATGTCTTCACACTTTAGCACCAAGTGGTTTACCTCCTCACAAGTTATGCCTAAAAAAAGGTGCAATTGTAATTTTACTAAGAAATTTAAATCCTAAAATTTTACCATGTTTCTTATTTAACATTTTAAAAGTAAGATGAAGATTTTAACTGGTCTGTCAGACAGTATTCTAAGCCTGTTCTGTTAGAACCTTTATGAAAACAGTATTGAGCTTAAGATTTTTATTTATGGTTAATTAAAAGTTAAGCTCTTAAAGTTCTTCATTTTTTTAGTATTGATAAGTTAAAAGATTATTTAAATTTTTTAATGATATTTGAATATAGTTAATATTATTAACTGGAAACAACTAGTATTTATTTACAAATTAAGTAAGTCGTTAAACTCTCTATTAAAATCATATTCTCACAACCCGACAACCCTGGTTTCCCAGCTTGTAGGAATTACAGGGGGAGGGACTGGTACATTATCAAGTAAAAACCAAAAATACAGACGTCACAAACTCTTTTCAATCTACACATCCACAGAGTACAGATTTTGCAGTTCGCTCGGCTTGCGCAAAAAAAGCTTAAAAATATCGTTATGGCATGAATCGTATCGCTCTATGTGCCGATATAAATATAAATATCGTTTTAGTCAATACGATACGTCTCCCAGAGGGGAGGTAATTGCCCGGTGTTTGACCCGGCACTTCAGGTAGGCCACAGTTATGGACGACTGGTAAGCGCCAGCCCCTTAGGGGGAGCCTCCAGTGACACTCCCTCCATTCAGGGTGGGGGGGTGTTTAGCTCTCAGTGACGCCGTTAATTCCGCCTCTCCTCACCTACCTGTAACTGTGGTTGTGACTTGAGTTCTTCGGGCTCGTCCTACCTGTTGTGTTCGACTGACATTTTGTGAGGCATATCCTCGACTTTGGAAGTAGCCTCGTCCTGGGAGGTGAAAAACCTAGCCCCCAAAGGGGAGGTAACTGCTCGGTGTTGGTATCGGCATTTCAAGTAGGCCACAGACATGGACGACTGGGCATTGGGTCCCAGTGACATTCCTTCATCCAGGATGGAGGGGTGTTTAGCTCTAGGAGAGATGGAAGTGCATCATAATCTCTAACCTACCTGTGTCTGTGGTTCTTTGGGTTTCGGCCTGCTTGTTGTGTGCGACCAGCATTCAGTGTGGCAAATCCTCGACTTTGGAAGTAGCCTTTCCTGGAGGTGAAAACGGGCAAGTACCCGTAGCTCACGGGGACACTCAAGGGAAACGTAACTTTCCGCAGTGTGAGGGTAACGGTTTGTAGGCACTTATGCAAACCAATCCCTGTCTCTGATCACGGACGGTATGGTTATCTTGAGTGTGGGGGGTTCTTCCCGGAACCTCAATTGAGTCAAGGGTGTCGCCACCTCTGGTGGATAGGTTCATCCAGGTGGGTCCCACTTCTATACCTGCCTCCTTTTGGGAAACCCTGATGGCCTGGCAGTGATGTTGGGTCTGACGGGCAAACGAAGTAGATCGGGTGCTGGGTCCGAGCCCGCCAGGGGTATCTGGGGATCTATCGCTCTGGTTATCTCTGGTTTCCCAGCAACTGGGTAAGGCCTCGATCGGGTAGTGGTGTAAATGGGAGGTTGGGGTTCCCCCGTCAGCGTGCTGACGGTCCCCTTCCTTCTGGCTATGATGGCGGGTTCTGCCTGTCAGGGATTAGATAGGTCCCGAGTGTTGCTTGCACTAAATGCGTCGGGGCGCTCCATTATGGTCCTCTAGGGCTCTGTACCTGGTGGAACCCAGGTGGAGTGACGCTTAAACAAGTAGCCAGAATCCCTGGTTAGGATTGAGGGGCAACCCTCTTTCCGAAGGGTCTGCTTCGGCAGCCGGTGAGCCTGATGACCTTAAGTCATCCGCCCATGATATGCTAAAGGTTGATGCGTAAGCTTCGGCCTACATCATGGGGCCCGGGTATGTCTCACGATAGGTACCGGGTATGTAGTCAGGGGGCTTCGGCTCTCATGACAAAGAATAATAATAATAATAATACGATACGTATCGTTTTGTGTAGTTTTTAACTATGTATTGCCATAGATAAAACACACTTGCAAAATCTTACAATTATTTATTTAATCTTAATCATAACTGAATGTTATTATTGTAAATTGCATTGCATAGAAAATAAAACAAAAAATAAAAAGTGGTTAATGCGAGTTGCCGTGGTGGCACTTGTTGGGGTGGCGACTTCATGGTAATCTCACGTCCCACGTCTTCTTTAGAACATGACCATATCACATTGCGTACCAACACTTGACTGTATGCACATCATCTCGAGTTTTGCAATCATAATTAATGATTAACAACTACAGTTTATCGTTATGACTAGCTTGGTTATATGGCTAAAATAGTATTTAGACGAGGACAATAACAGAGAAATAACAATTATATCAAAACACACATGGTTCTTCTAGAAAAGATCGCTGATTTAGACATGGGCGTCCAACAATATGAGTAAGGGGGAACCAGGGTCACACTATGTGTTAGAGCCAGACTTAATTTAATTTAATTTAATTTCTGAAATCCCAGAGACATTTTAATTTATCCTTTTTCATTCCTGTTGCAACATCACAAACCACCCTCATTCAGGTTTCATTTAAACATTTAAATTTCCCGCCTATCCCTACTACAAGAAGAAGAAGTAGTGAAGGAAAAAGCAGCAGCAAGATGGCCATCTACAGAGAAGTCAACCCAAATATGTGAGGTATCTTAATTTTACTCATTTTCCTATTTTTCTACCTTACAATTTCTACGTTAACCAAATGATTACAAATTTTAAAAATTATGCAAAAAAACAATACATAAAGAGTACAAGAAGCCAACTAAAAACAAATTTGAAAAATAAAAATTTTTTTAATACATTATTTTTA